ACATATAATATATACAAACATCAATCAATAGTATATTGATGCTCTCCTTTGGGTGATACATCAACACACAACATACAAACATAATGATGCTAATAAATTTAATCATTATTTTGCAACTAAACATGCACCAATTAAAATTATCTAATACCTTTGGGTATATAAATAATTTAATAGCACATATAAGTCACACACAATTATATTCATTAATTATGAGAACAACTAATCAACCTTTGGGCGATACATAAATGTCTTATAATAATGAATTTCAATATACCCATAAACAAACAAATATTTTATTTAGCATCCATTATTCTATGGGTAACTGAATTAAATCACCATTAATTTGGAATTAAATAAATATAAAATCTGGCCACTTTGGTGACTAACAAATTCATCATACAATTAATTCCAAGTAAATAAAAACTTTACTAGTCCCAATTTAAAGTCATTCATGAATTTCATAAAAGAAAGTAAAATAAAATTTCATACTTTAGAAATTGAGAATATTGAAATTCTACGTTGAAATACATGAAGGTAACATGCGCAGTCACAAATTCCAAAATTTGATTAAAAGTTAAAATCAATTATTTCCATTAATGTGGAATTAAATAAATATAAAATTTGGCCACTTTGGTGACTAACAAATTCATCGTACACTTAATTCCAAAATTTGATTTAAAAAAAATCAATTCTTTTCAATTAGAATTACAAAATTAGGTATTTCAGAAAAAAAAAAAAAAAAAAATAACAAATATAGAGACTAAAATATTTATCTTAAATTATATGAACTAAAAAATATAAGTATAAGGACTAAAAAAATTTATTTTAAACTATAGGATCTAAAAGGTAAAATAATTAAAAATATAAAAATTAAAAAAAATATTTTAACCAAAATACTTTATAAGAAGTAAAGTGTCTTGAGGACCAAACATTATATCTTTATTCAAGATAACACCTGTTTACATTACTCTAACACAAATATGCATAAAACCATAGAAAACAGGTACTCAGAAACATATCATTAATGAGCTCAAAATGTCAATCACTTAATATCAAATAAACATAATACTCAACAATCATTAGTAACAATAATGCCCTTTGTTTTCTAAATTGACCCTTAGCACTAGATAAATAATGACTTCGATGAGAAGCAATAAAGTGGAGAGATGATTGATTTTTTAAAAAAAATAATTGTACTCTTAGAAGAACAATACACATTATTGATAAATTTAATATATAATTAACTATTTTTTTTAAAAGAGTGTGAATTAATTGAGTAATTAGCTCCTATGACAAGTGGTTTTAGACTCCAGGACTATGGCCATTGAGAATTAATTAAGCTCCATATGCATGAGTTAATATCCATCATTGAGATAAAACTTTTGATTAAAAAGCTCTTAGTGTTAAGTACCTTTCTTTTGAAAAAGAGCAAAGGGCACAATACATACGGCACCCCTTACCTTGGTGACATATGACTAATTAAGTTGCATAGTTGCAATTGGGTGAAGAAAAAAAATGGAACGTGTCCTTTGGAATAAAGCAAAGGTTTTTGTATGTGTGTGTGATATGAGAGTATGTGTGTGTGGGGAAGCACTAGGAGTAGCATGAAGGACTGGGTCTACCAAACCCTAACTAAACGGCATTTACTCCCCAATCCCACACAATACTCCATTCTCAAAGGTAGGGCAGTTAAGTCTTCTATTCATTTTCCCACCCATTACACGTTCAACCAAGATCCAAATTCAAAGGAACCATTCTCATTTTACATTACCCAAATTAAAAATTAAACACCATAACACAAGTTTAATTTTCAACATTTAATTCGAATCCTACCCTCATAACCAACAATTAATCCCATATTCAAAATTAACATGTCACGCCATGATCATGTTACATCAAGATAAACTAACATTATCGTATCAGTTGGCTACACGGCCTGAGTGAGCATGACCAAATCTCAATTCTTATTCTATTGGTACAACAACAAATCCTCCTTAATTAATCTCATTATCACCACATTATTTTTTTCTTCTTCTAATTAATGTTAGCAATTAGAAACTGAATAAAGGACCAACCAGCATGCGAAGGTTACCACTTACCATGGGATTGGGCTCTCTCATCACCGCCACAAAAGTAACAGATTACAAAATCAAATTCAAAACAGAAAAATTAAATTAAAAAAAAAAAAACCCATTATTTTTTTTTTTTTGTCTATTAAGGTCATTTTCCTAAATCACTCACCGTGGCATTAACCAGTGGTTGCCTATAGAAAAGACAGGTAGGTAATGTGAGTTACATGTCACGCATCAATTTGATAGTTATGTTGTCTCGTGGATTTTACATCACAATCGAGTGATTTTAACCATCAGTTCCGCCACCATTTAAATTTAAAATAAATAAAATCTCATTTTCTTCGTTACAGCAAAACAAACCCCAGCAGTTTACGCTGCAAAGCCATCGGGAATTTCCAAAAATGCCCTTACCATTTTCACCAAATACATAGTATAAAATTTCGAATTTAATTCCCTTCAAAAAAAAAAAAAAAGAATTTAATTTCAAGATATGATCACATCCCCAAAATCCGATTCTTCACATCCCAACCCAATCTCCAAGGGCATTTAAGGAAACAAAAAAATTTGCAAGATAAAAAGTAAATAGAGAAAAGAAGCAAGAGTCGCATGTTACATAAGTTAAAAAATCTGGAATTGATTGCGCGGAAAAGGTAACACAAGGAAAATATTCGGAAAACAAAAAGATAAACGAAGCAAAAAAAAAACAAAATCCAGGTCCAAAATTTATTTCTGTTTTTGAAAAACACATAGTATTTATCTATCCCAGCACAGAGCAACAGAGTTTGCAGTTTGCAGTTTGCACCTACCCTTTTATTTTGGCATCAGAGAGAGTGAAAAAGTGAACACAACACAAGCGTGTGATCGGGTGCGGCTAATGGAGAAGCACAAGTGCAAGCTTTGTTTTCGGAGCTTCGCGAATGGAAGAGCCTTGGGAGGTCACATGAGGTCTCACATGATGAACCTACCCGTCGTCCCTCCGAAGCCGAACGAGTTATCGCCGGTTCAACTCAGTTTGGAGGCCGAGTCATCGCCCTCTCAATCCTCCTCTTCCTTCTACGGCCTCAGAGAGAACCCAAAGAAAAGTTTCCGTTTTGCAGATCCTGAATTCTCGTTCGCACCAGACACCGCCTCCGTCATCCTCCAAGACAGAGAGAGCGAGACCGACTCCTCCAAGAACCCAACTCGGAAACGATCCAAGCGACCATGGCAACTCGCTGAAACCGTCAAAAACATCAAATTTACCGAATCTGCAAGCTCCGCTTCCGACACAACAACCGAAGAAGACGTCGCATTTTGTCTCATGATGCTGTCTCGCGACAACTGGGACGAGAATAAACATAAAACCAAACATCGAGAATTAGAACACGACGAGGTCGAGTACGAGGACGAGGAAGAAGAAGAAGAAGAAGAAGAAGAAGAAGATGATGAGGATGGTTATGAATCAGAAGAGGTGAAAGTGTCTAAGAAAAGTAACAAAGCTAAAGGGAGGTACAAATGCGAAACGTGTGACAAGGTGTTTCGATCTTACCAAGCTCTTGGTGGACACAGAGCGAGTCACAAGAAGATTAAACTAAACGATGAAACTGAGAATCAAACTGAGCTTGAATCGGAGCATGTTGTGGAGAAGAAAACTCATGAATGCCCGGTTTGTTTCAGAGTTTTTGCTTCGGGTCAGGCTTTGGGAGGACACAAGAGAACGCATGTTATTGGTTCTTCTGCTACTACAACAGCATCTACTACACCTGCGATTGTTAGAACGGTTTCGGTTAGAACTTCGAGTTCGGCTAAAGCTGGAGATAGTTTGTTAGATCTCAATCTCCCTGCTCCGGTTGACGAGGATGATAGCCACTTCGATGACTCTGCTGTTTCAGATGCAGAGTTTGTTAAACTCTGAGCTTTTTTTCTTAGTTCAAAAGGTTCTGATTCTTGGACTAGTTAGGCTGTGATTTCAAGGTACAAAATTTTGGTTCGGTTATTTAATTGCAATTTAGATTTCTTCCGCCATTTGGGTTATAGCTTATAAACTAATATGGTTACTCCATGGTTTATATTCATCTAATAATTTCATAATTCTTCTTCAATTCAGTTCTTCATGATTGTTAGCATGGTTCATGAGTTTGTTTCTGTGAATCTGCGTGATGTGGCTTGAAATTAAAGCATCGAACTGAACTTTTTATGCTTAGCTTAAACTTTTGAGCTTTCTATATAAAAGAAATAGTAACAATTTGCTAGGAAGATTTCTGGGTTTTTTTTTTTTTTTTTTTTTTTGTGTGTGTGTGTAATCATGGAGCTATATATGCAGAAGAATTGGAAGCATGCGTGTTTTAGTGGGCTCTGTTTCAGCTTCCAAGCAAAAACTAAGTAACTGTTATACCATTCATTTCTTGTGAATATTAAATAAAACCAAGTCATTCTCACTGGAAGTTGATGAAGCTGCATATTTTATTGATAGAAAAGTAACTTCCACTTCTGAGCACCGGCATTGTACAGTTCAGGAAGAGGAATATGTTTCTTTCATTTCTTTATTTTTTGCTCACCAAGACAATTAAGATGTTCCATGTTGCACATCTTTACTCCTTTATTTTTCTTTTTGCAAAAAGTGAACTCCTCTGTCTCTAATCATTTTATCTCCCTGTGGCTGCTTGAGGCTTTTCACATACATCTTCATAACTAGGTGAATCAGAAAAATTTAATAGCCACAGCAATAGCTTGGTGATTGAATCTGGTTTTCAATAAATTTTGTTTTCCATTTTTGGTTAATCTGTAAAGTTGATTTGAGAAAAGAGAAAAGGCAAGCAGATCCCATATTTTACTCATGGCTGACAGATTAATTTGGCTTAGTTGGGCGTGACTCAAGGTATCTAGCTGAGGCAGGCCTTTTGGTTCTTTATGGAAAACTTTCAGTCACACTCATTAAATTTGTAATAAATGACATATGATCCGTTTCATGCATTTGTTGTATTTTTATTTGATTGTATTTTATGGGGGGTTTAGTCAATTAGTAGATCTTAGATGCCACTGTTGCGATTTAGACTTTCGAATGCTGAGATTTTACTTGAAACAAATCTGACTGGTTAACAACTAAACCAAATTGGAAAAGAAATTATAAAGTGAGAAATTTGATGCTTAGATGGAACTACCAAGTAATTGCCTTTATAAAGCAGGACATTAGCCACCAGCCACCTCTATGATGACACTTCTTTGAGTACCCATGCTAACATAGTTTTAATTTTTACATTTCTCACACGGTTAGTTACCATATAAATTAAAAGTCAATAATTTAAACATTTCTTAATATTTAGATTTGATTTTTGTTATAAACATAGAATTGTCACTGAAATTTATACTTTATTTCTGATTAAAAAAAAAAAAGAGTTATACTTTCTTTAAAAAAGGAAAAGTTACTGTATAAAAAAATTGAATTCCTTTTTCTTTTGAACAATTTTAGCTACTCTCCTTACACTCCTAACATTAGGTGCAACTTCGAAAATAATCAACAATTCTTTATTCTTTTCTTAGATACCACCACATGTCTACATGGTAGTATATTATTAGTAGTATAAAAGTACTACTACATGACACAATCTCTCAACAGCTAGTCGTAAATTGCGTAAATATTTGGTTGATTGTGAAAGAGAAAGTAAAAAATTTGTGTATAACCTGTTCTACTCAAATTCAGTAGCCTAAGTTATTGACTATAGATATAAGCAATGGGTTTTGGTCTATTTGCTCAGGCTCATTAAAGAGATAGATATTTAAATATTTGCTGTCAACTTGTAAATTATAATCACCTTTAAGTAATATGAAAAAATTATGTCACGCGAAGATATTCCTGTTAATTAAGGCAGAAGAAATACATCACTCTTTCTTTTAAAGGAAAAGAACGAAGCATCATTTTGATGAACAGGACAGAAACAAAGTAAAATCTAACATTAATGATGAAATTAATTATGTACTCTCAAGCGTCCATTACTCCACATTTCAATGGTCGATAACCGTTGAGTAAAAATATCAAATTATCAATGATCGAAAAATTTGATAGAATTACGTGTGCTATGATGTTATGTGTGAAATATTATTGATTTTGTTCATGTTTACTTTTTTAGTAAGAAGTTTTCTTGATTACGTCTAGTTGTCTCTCTTTTCAAATAAAAAATTATTGAGTTGTATATTGTAGTTTTGAATAATCTTCAGAGGTAGTAAGCAGATGATATTTTAAGAAAAAAGTTAAATTATAACAATTTCTAAAAGAAAATGACTATTTCATTTTTTTAATGTGAATTTTGCATAATAATTAGGGGTGCTCTATTTTATTATTATTTTATTTATTTTTATATTAAATTTATATATATATAGAGAGAGAGATTTTTTTATAAGTTTTTAATTTAGAATATAATAAAATTTATATTTAAAGAATTATATTATAAATAATTATAACATAATAATAATCAAATTCATAATATTATGTAATCAAGTGTTATTAAGATATACATATAAATAAAAATAATAATAATAATGCTTGTTAGTCGGACCACATGTAACTATAGGTCTATGATGGTACAAAATATCTAATAAATTATCTTCTAATTTACCATATTTAAATTCGATATCTTATTTTAAAATTAGTTTTACAACATTAATGATATATATTTCTAAAATATACTCTCTATGTAAGTAATCAAATTTTTGAATTGGACAATGCACGAGAAGAGTGAGAATATCACAAGAAATATGAATTTTCTTTTAAATGAGAAGAGATATGGTCTTGACTGGAGCCACAACTTGGTCTGTCTTTTTTGTCTTTCATCTTTCTTTTGGATAATGAAGCACTTTTGCATCGACGAACCAGGAATGGAGATTTCTTGCCAAGAATTCTAAGAATATTTTTGGAAAACATGTTCGCTAATCAATCAAGTCATGTGCAAGTGCTCATTTGGCACGTATGAAATAGCCAATGCTCGCAAGCCTCAACTTTATGGTATCAGTACCACGTATATAGTTTTTCATTTATCACTAACTAATATTGATAATAGTATCAGTAACGTCTTGCTTTGGAGGTCTCGTGGAAATTCTCATTGGTATAGTACCAATAATATTCTTCACTCAAATCCTCTGCCTCTGCCATCTGGATATATAAAGTGCCTTTTACCTTCCAAAAATGATTGTGAACACTCAACAACTTATAGCCTCTTTCACACTTTGAAAGATAAGAGAATAATAGATGAAATTATAAGTTTAATAGGTAATATTGTAAAGGTGGAATAGAATGAGATAGAAATAAATGATAAATGTTGATACACCATTTATTTTTTATTGTACGATGTTAAAGTTCAAACTTAAAATATTAAGTATATTATTTAATTTCTCACCATTAGACCAATCTTTATAAATGATAACATTTATATATATAAAAAAAAAGTATTCAAATATCATTATTAAAGCTTTATTTTTTTTTTTGCCATGTTTTTAATATTTTATGTAATTAATGAGCTCAGTTATTTGATTTTTTTAATAATTATATATATATATATATATATATATTTTTTTATAT